TAGATTCAGCTACTCGGAACACGTTCCAAGTAGCACGGGCTATGGTGAGCCCGTAACTTACCTGGCACAGGAGCGGGGTAAGAAGCACGGACTATGGTGAGCCTGAGCTATCAGGCGGATTGCAGGCGGTGGATTGCAGATGGTGGATTGCAGGCCGGAGATGTGCGCGTGTCGTCTAGGACAAGGTTTAGGGAAAATCCCCAGGCGACTCGACTACCTTGTTCCGGCCCCGGCTGGCTGCTTCGTCAACTCTTCCTCTTCCTCAACACTTTCATTGCGTCCCGCTGTCAGTGTATCGACTAGTCTTTACCTTCAATTATAGCTTCGTCCGTCTGTTTGAGTCGTCTCTCCCTAATGTTCGTCCGTCTTATTAGTTCTATGGTGTTCTGTGTTTGGCCCAGCCTCGGTTGACACGTAGGCTTATGGTAGAAATAGTTTCCGGGTAAATTGTTTGTGTTATCATCTTGGGCTGTCATTCTTCCTGTCTCCATATATCTCACCATCTCCCCCCCTCCCCTCCCCCTCCCCCCTCTCCCCCCCTCTCCCCCCTCCCCCCTCTCCCCCCTCTCCCTCCCCTCCTCTCCCCTCCTCCCTCCTCCCTCTCCCCCCTCCCCCCTCTCACCCCCCCCCCTCCTCCCCCCCTCTCCCCCCTCTCCCCCCTCTCCCTCCTCTCCCTCCTCTCCCTCCTCCCTCCCCCACCTCTCCCTCCCTCCAACCCTTCACTCCGGCCTTGTCTGTTACCTTGGCAAAGCATCTACCTCCCTCTCCCCCTCCCTGCCTTCTCCCAAGCAGGCACTGTCTACCCTTCCTCCCCCTCTCACTTCACCATCTTGGAAAGTGAAGGGACGACGACGTTTCGGTCCGTCCTGGACCATTGAGAATGGTCCAGGACGGACCGATACGTCGTCGTTCCTTTACTTTCTAGTGAGTAGTTTGGTCTTCACCATCTTGTTTGTCTTTCCTCCCCCGTCTCACTATCCCACCGAGTTCTCTCCCCCCCCCCCCTCTCACTTCACTGCCGTGTCTTCCCTCCCACCTCAGCACCATCCCCTCTCCCCACCTCCTATCCCCTCCCCTCTCACTTCACTATGTCAACTAAACGACCCGATCACGTTTTCGAGTGACGGGGCTACTCACGCCCGTGCCACCTCTTGGGTGGCTTAATCTTCACCAATCACTCAATCACTGTTTCCAGTCGTGTGGTGTACTGTGTGATTAGTTTTCCGTGGCATCACACACACCGCTGGTTGTATTGTTAACATATTCCCGCCATGGGGTGGGGAAAGAGGTGGGGGGTTACGTGGTCCCGGGTTCGATCCCGGGCGCCGGCGAGAAACAATGGGCAGAGTTTCTTTCACCCTATGCCCCTGTTACCTAGCACTAAAATAGGTACCTGGGTGTTAGTCAGCTGTCCTGGGGGTGGAGGCCTGGTCGATGACCGCCGGGCTGCGGGGACACTAAAAGCCCCGAAATCATCTCAAGATAACCTCAAGATGGTTGGATGGAGTACTACAGTAACTGTGCAACACCAAATGAAAGATGGTTTGTTGCATAGTTCATTTTGAACTGCATACATCTCAAAAAAGGATAAAAGTAGCTTAGGCTATTTCAACTCCTCGAAATGTTGACATTTTAAGCTAAAACAGTTGTGTATCTGGTTGATGGAGTTTTCTGGGAGTTCTTCTACTCCCCAAGCCCGGCCCGAGGCCAGGCTTGACTTGTGAGAGTTTGGTCCACCAGGCTGTTGCTTGCAGCGGCCCGCAGGCCCACATATCCACCACAGCTCAAACTACATGATCAGACACATATGATTAAATATTGTGCTGTTCCTGCAATGGCGACTATTTATTTTAGGAAACCCTACCGGTAAGATTCCTTACAGATGAATGCAAATATTTGGTTTGTGTGCGATAATTGTAGAACATCACACACACAGATCACACTAACGTGATGCATCACATGAACAAATCCACAAGGGCCGTGACGAGGATTCGAACCTGCGTCCGAGAGCATCCCAGACACTGCCTTAATCGACTGATCTACGACAGGGTAAAAGAGTTGAAACCGAAGTTCTACTGAACTAACTGGATCCCGTAGCCTCTCTTCTGAGGCACAAACCACGATTTTATACAAGCAGGATTTTACGGGATGCACCCGGACGCAGGTTCGAATCCTCGTCACGGCCCTTGTGGATTTGTTCATTGTAGAACATATTTGCATATTGACTTGAGACTTGAAAACACTTGTCTGTTATTGTACTTTTTGATGTGTCAGGTAACCCTCTTTTGTCGATTTCAAGTCATTTTAACCTTTCCCGATGAAGGGTGGGGGGGGGGGGATTTACCAAATACATGAGATTAGTCACGTATTTGGCAAGGGAAAGGGCATAATTATACCATTTCTTCAGATTTCTTTATTTTTTTTGCCAGGGGATTCTTCCAGTGTAAATATACTAGAATTATGTTAATATGGTGTATACATTTTCTTCACAATGGCCCAGTAGATTTGGTGTTTACACACACACACACACACACACACACACACACACACACACACACACACACACACACACACACACACACACACACACACAGATAAAATCGACAGGGAAGATTTCCTGAGACCTGGCATTTCAAAAACAAGAGGTCATAGATTTAAACTAGCTAAACACAGATGCCGAAGAAATATAAGAAAATTCACCTTCGCAAATAGAGTGGTAGACGGTTGGAACAAGTTAAGTGAGAAGGTGGTGGAGGCCAAGACCGTCAGTAGTTTCAAAGCGTTATATGACAAAGAGTGCTGGGAAGACGGGACACCACGAGCGTAGCTCTCATCCTGTAACTACACTTAGGTAATTACACACACAGAGGGCCTGATAGCTGAGTGGACAACGCTCTGGATTCGTAATCCTAGGGTCCGGGTTCGATCCCCGGTGATGGCAGAAACAAATGGGCAGAGTTTCTTTCACCCTCATGCCCCTGCTACCTACCAGTAAATAAGTACCTGAGAGTTAGACAGCTGTTACGGGCTGCTTCCTGTGTGTGTGTTGGGGGGGGGGATCAGTTGATTGACAGTTGAGAGGCGGGCCGAAAGAGCAGAGTTCAACCCCCGCAAGCACAACTAGGTGAATACTGTAATGGCATGTAAGGTGTCTTATGGAGGAAGAGGCACAGGTTGGCACATCGAAGGGGAAATGATGAGGGAATGAGAGATACTGGTAAGCGAAGGCACTAAATCGCATAGGACTAACCGATGGTTTGGCAAAGGGTGCAGGAAAACAAAGAACATAAGTATGAAAAAAAACCTGTAGTGTGGATATAGACAAACATAAAAGTCACAGCTTCGTATCATCTTTTGCAGATGACACACAAATCAGCATGAAAACTACTTCTGTAGTAGAAGGCATTGAACAAGTTCAAGATAATGTAAAGATTTCGATTGGGCAGCTGGACATGTTTAACAGTGATTAATTCCAGGTAATTAGGTATGGTATAAATGAAGACCTTGAAGAAAATGCAGAGTGCAAGACAATCAAGTCTGTGCCCTGTCTGCAGCCGCGTCTAACAGCCTGGTTGATCAGTCCAGCAACCAGGAGGCCTGGTCGACGACCGGGCCGCTGGGACGCTAAGCCCCGGAAGCACCTCAAGGTAACCCCACAGTAGGAAAGCAAAATGTTAAGATGTGGGAGTAATGATACATGACGACCTAACGTTTAGGGAGCATAACCAAGCAAATATTGTGTCAGCCAGAAAACTGATAGGATGGATTACGAGAACCTTCAAATCCAGGGATCCCATCACAGTGGTTGTACTATAGAAATTACTTGTAATGTCCCGTCTTACTACTGCTTAATGCTCGCTACCTGCTTCAGAGCAGGAGAGTGTGCTGAAATAGAGGGAATACAGAGAACATACACGGCCCGCGTAGACACGTTAAAGCGCCTAAATTATTGGGGTCGTCTCACAGCTCTCAAAATGTATTCTTAGAAAGGAGACGAGAAAGGTACCAAATTATATATACATGGCAAATACTGGAGGGCCAGGTCCCTAATTTGCACAGTAAAATAGTAACATACTGGAGTGAACAACGTGGAAGGAAATGCAGAATAGAACCAGAATAGAATAAAGGTGCCATAGGCGCACAGAACATTGTCTGAACATCAGAGGTCCACGCCTGTTTAATATCCTCCCAGCAAGTATAAGAAATATTGCCGGATCAAATTGGAAGTCTTCAGTAAAAAGCTGGATAATTTTTTGCAAGAAGTGCCGGACCAATTTGGCTATATTGGATGTGTGGGCCTGGGGGCTGCTCCAAGCACTCGCCTGTTGGCCCAAGCTCTCAAAGGTCAAGCCTAGATACCTGGTTAATACCTGGTTGATGGAGTTCTGGGAGTTGTTCTACTCCCCAAGCCCGGCCCGAGGCCAGGCTTGACTTGTGACTTCTACTCCTAAGGAGTAGAAGAACTCCCAGAACCCCATCCATGTACAATCCAGGTAGCAAAAGAAGAGTGCAGAGAGGGGGGGGGTGGGTACTAGAGAGCCAGGAATGAATACCTCAGAGTGAAAAGGGAAGCAGATAGACAATTTGAAAACGACATTACAGCTAAAACAAAGACGTAACTTGCTTCAGAGCCACATCGGGAGGAAAACGACAGTTCAGAAACAAGTGATGAAACAGAATAGGCTTGAACTCATTCAACGATAATGACATAGAAATGTGCGAAAACCTCAACCGGAGATTTCAGGAGGCCTTCACACTAGAGCCAAGATGTGAGGTTATCTGAGGTAATATCTTGGCCCAGTAAGCACTGGATATGGAGGGCCAGCGATGTATCCAATATTTCTAATAATAAAACTTTCATATTTTATTGTATATTAATGTCTAAAAATATATTTCCTCTTCAAGCAACCGACAGGAAATGTAATCGGCTATTCTCCCATTAGCGATTGGATTAGGACTTGTGTGTGGCGTGTGTTGATGGTTTGTTGTTGTGCCTGCAGGATGGAGGGCGTGGATGGCGGCGGGTCGGGGGGCGGCGGGTCGTCCTCGGTCGACCCGCTCTCCACCGTGAGCAGTGAGGGCAGCGGTAGTGGGGCGGGCGGCGGAGGGGGAGGAGCCATGCCCGCCGTCTCCACCGTCTACGTTACCATCCCTCAGGCCAGTGGACCCATCGCCTCTGGCGGGTCAAAGGGCGTGAGTAAACAGTCACATGGCTACCATAATATTCCAGCTTTTGTATGTTCTATGTCCACCACCCCACCCCCCGTCCACCTGCATGTATCCGCCCACCTGTGTGTGTGTTCTCTCTACCTACACCTCATGAGCCTGGTCTGAATGTGTCCTTTGTTGTGTCACGCCTGTCTTACTGCGGTTCTTGCCTTGCATGTCATCTCTTGTCACACGTCTCTAGCTTCTTCAAGCATGTTCTCTGTTGGTTTCTTCTCGCCATCATCTCTCATGCTGGAGGGTCTTGTATGAATTTTGCCTCGCCAGTATAGTGCAACTGTGTCAATTTAATAAACAGAAAAACAAGTTGTGTCAAAGTAACTAGGACCTGAGCTCTTTATCCACAACAAATATCATAGGAACGGTTGGTGAACAAGAGGAAACTAGATTGTTTTCTTCAAGGAGTGCCGGACCAACCGGGCTGTGGTGGGTATGTGGGCCTGCGGGCCGCTCCAAGCAACAGCCTGGTGGACCAAACTCTCACAAGTCAAGCCTGGCCTCGGGCCTCCCAGAACCCCATCAAGCAGGTATCAACCAGCCTGGTGGACCAAACTCTCACAAGTCAACCGGGCCGCTGGTTGAGGAGTAGAGGAGTAGAAGAACTCCCAGAACCCCATCAAGCAGGTATCAAGCAGGTAACGAGTGTGCAGAGTTCACACAAAATATGTTCCATTGGGAATGATCAAAATAAGACGAGTATAGACGAAGAATACCCACGACTCCACAGGTGGAGGAGAGAAAGGTTGGCACAACTCTTAAACGAACGCAAACGTCACATCGAAGCAAAATGAATCTGCACAGACATTTGTCATAATCAAATACTAAACTATTTATACCAGTTGAAACAAATCTGAGAAACAATGTTATCCAGGAAGCAGTGGGACAAAAATATACATTTAGAATCGAGGGGGAGCCGGTCGGCCGAGCGGACAGCACGCTGGACTTGTGATCCTGTGGTCCCGAGTTCGATCCCAGGCGCCGGCGAGAAACAATGGGCAGAGTTTCTTTCACCCTATGCCCGTGTTGCCTAGCAGTAAAATAGGTACCTGGGTGTTAGTCAGCTGTCACGGGCTGCTTCCTGGGGGTGGAGGCCTGGTCGAGGACCGGGCCGCGGGGACACTAAAGCCCCGAAATCATCTCAAGATGACCTCAAGATAGCATGAATTCGTGTTAAACAATTTGCTAGATACAATGAAGACAGTTTCCTTGAACTCTGGTCTCCTCTCAAGTGATGTATCAAATACCAACACAAACTATTGAGTTCGGAAAATAAATTAGCACCATAGTTTCTAATTATCGGGAACAGAAAGCTTGTTAGGCTTATCGAGGACCCCCTTGGCCAATGACTGACATCTAGGATGGAACCCACAACAGTTATCTTGAGGTTATCTTCTTGAGGATGTCTTGAGATGATTTCGGGGCTTTTAGTGTCCCCGCAGCCCGGTCCTCGGTCCCCAGGAAGCAGCCCGTGATAGCTGACTTAACACCCAGGTACCTATTTTACCGCTAGGTAACAGGTGCATAGAGTGAAAGAAACTGCCCATTGTTTCTCGCCGGCGCCTGGGATCGAACCCAGGACCACAGGATCACAAGCCCAGCGTGCTGTCCGCTCGGCCGACCGACTCCCAGCGTTAGCCAGTTAGCCATTTCCCCTTGTACATATTTATTGCTAAGTGAACAGAGGAACCCTTTTTACCTATATATAATCCCACCTATAGCTTCACTATTGGTGGGAATCCGGATGCTCTGCGAATTTCACAATAAGGTAGCAAAGTGAAGGACAAAAAATGACCGGCCAGTGTGCTAAAAGTCGACTTGAAGTTTAGCATAAAAGGCGGCAGCGTCGACAAGCTGCCGGCTTCCTGTCCTCGTCGAGGTCTTAGAAATAATATCAGATAATGGGACATTTAGAGAGCACGACCAAACAAGCGTTGCTACTGCCAGCAAAATTACGGCTGTCATAGAATCGGTAAAGTATTTAAACTCCTAAGACTGCATCCGAGTATTGAGAATTGGACTGAGATGTGATAGAGATTGCAACATGGAACATACTCCTTACCTTGAGGTTACCTTGAGGTACTTCCGGGGCTTAGCGTCCCCGCGGCCCGGTCGTCGACCAGGCCTCCTGGTTGCTGGACTGATCAACTCGGTCACAATCGACTTGAGAATGGTCCAGGACGGACCGAAACGTGGTCGTCCCTTCACCTTCTAGTGTGTGGTCTGGTCAACATTCTTCAACCACGTTAGTGTGACTCCTTGCCTGCATACTCACTCAGCTTCCTAATCTCCATAGTAAAGTCATTCTATATTAATGGACCCGTAAGT